CGTTCCTTTTCTCTGGTTTCTATTCCATCAATGGCCTCTTGCATCTCATCCATTCTGCTTATAAATCCTTCCAGAGAGTGTTTCATTTCTGTAATCTCCCTCCGGACTTCATTCCTTAGCTCTTGTATATTTTTCTGCAGCTCCATCAGCATGTTTATGACTTTTATTTTGAATTCTTTTTCAGGAAGATTGGTTAGATCTGTCTCCTTCTCAGGGGTTGACTCTGTGATTTTGGTCTGGATGAAATTTTTCTGCCTTTTCATGGTGATAGAGGTAGTTGTGGGGAGCTGGCACATGTGTTGGCTGGGAGAACATCCCTTCTTGCTGGTTTGTGGCCTTCCTCTCCTGGGAGAACAGTGAGCCCTAGCTGCTTATGCTGGGCAGCTGCGTGCAGACGGGGTATCTGATTCTTGCCTGGCTGCTGTGGAAGAAGCTCTGCTCAGTTGCTGTGGGCGTGGCCACTGCTGCTATGGTGGAGTCGCGCCGGAAGGGCAGCGGGTGGAAGGCTGTTTATCATGGGAGGGGCCTCCGAGCTGCGCTGCTGCCCAGGGGGTTGGGGCGCCCGGAGCTCCCCGGGATTCCCAGTTACTGGGCTGGTTGCGCCGGGTCCCCTGTGCCTTTAAGATTTTCAAAGGGCAGTTGCTTTTATTTGTTCCAGGGTTGCCAGCTGCAGGGACTTACTTGCAGGTTTTACTGTCCCCTTTCCCTAGTATCTGGCACCCCACACACGTGTATCTGTGCTCTGGTGCAGATGGCTATGGCTGGGTGTTTAGCAGTCCTGTGCTCCCTCTTCCTCCCCGGTCTGACTCCTCTCCTCCCGCCGGGAGCTGGGGTGAGGGGAGCTTGGGTCCCGCTGGGCCACGGCTTGTATCTTACCCCCTTTGTGAGGCTCTGGGTTCTCTCAGGTGTGGATGTAGTCTGGCTGTTGTCCTGTGTCTTCTGGTCTCTCTTTTAAGATTAGTTGTATTTGTTGTATTTTCAAAAATATGTATGGTTTTGGGAGATTTCCGCTGCTCTACTCATGCTGCCACCTTGGGTCCACTCTCTTCTTCACTGTCTTTTATCACTGCCTTATAGTTTTCACTGTACAGATCTTTCACCTTTAGGTCAGATTTACTCCAAAGTATTTTATTCATTTTGATGCAATTGTAACTGGAATTTTTAAAAATTTCCCTTTCTGATAGTTTGTTTTTAGTGTGTAGTAAAGCAAGTGTTTTTTGTATATTGGTTTTGTATTTTGTAACTTTATTGAATTTATTTATTAGTTCTAACAGTTTTTTGGTGGAGCCTTTAGGGTTTTCCATGTATAATTTAATGTCATATGCAAAAAGAAACAGTTTTACTTCATTCTTTTTACTTTGGGTGCCTTTTATTTCTTTTCTTTCCTAATTGCACTGGTGAAGATTTCCAATATGATGTTGAACAAAAGTGGAGAGAGTGGGCATCCTTATCCAGTTCTTGATCATAGAGAAAAAGCTTTTAAATTTTTAAGAAACCATTCATTGACATAAATTACTAGGACACACTTGAAATACAACAAACAATAGTCTCCTGCATCTTTCCATCTGGTGTTCAAAATGTCTTCCTTGTGTGTTGCCTTCATTTTCCTGTCTGCTTTCCAAAAGCTTGATGTCTTCCTGCTGTCCCCTGCTTGCTTAGAACTGCTAACCATGGCTCACTCAAGCCCCTCCTCCTCTCTGCTAGTGGTCCTCAGACTTGGTCTCCCATCCCCCAACAGTTCCTGCTGGTTCTCCAGATTTTTCTCAATCTGAAGGCTCAGGTCTGGTTACCAGGTCCATCCTGCCTGAAGCATAAGTCTTTTAGCATTTCAGTATCTGTCCCTGCCTTCCCAATCCTGATCACCACTGCTCATCCTACTCAAAATGTACCTGTTGGTGACCACTGGGCTTTTATGTGGCCCATGATGAAGCCTTCACTGGGTGCATTTTGATATAAGTGGCCCATCTTCTAATCTTAGAAGTTCTAGATGACATGTGTACCCTTTCAAATAATAGAACTTGCTCATTTTTCTGAGTTTTGGTGCCCAGCGTGCTGGTTCTATTACAGAGATAAGACTCAGCCTTACCCAGGACCAAAGTCCTTCTCATGGTTCCTGGCTGATGCCTGTTTTTTATGTCTGTAGATGCCCTTTGGCATCCTGTGCTTTCTCAGCATTATCCAAACAAATCTACCATCACTGTGTCCCTTTACCACACACATGTTTTTGTTACGAACTATTTCCAAAGTGCTGTAGTCAGTCCCTATTACAAGGAGAGTTTCCTTGTTCCTACCAGCCCCAATCAATATGAGAGGCCATGGTCTATGCCTCACCTTATTAAAGATTAAGTGGAAAAAATCTACCCAATCTAAGAAATGGCAGCTTCACAAATTTTCACCTCCTGACACCCCCCTCAAAAGCTGATGACTGAGAATAGATTGGCCCTCTGCTCTCTTTGAGAACTGCTGTATTAGGAAAACAGCTCTAACTGCAACCCCATTGAAGAGGACTTGGGGATTTTCAGCACTGCTTGAATCATTCCTCACAAAGTTCAATTCACCTACAAGTAAAATAGTCCCTTTCTCCCTAATTTATATGAGGTTGAGGAGGAAAGCTGGGGCAATGACCCTTTCAGAGGAAAATTATGAAGGCTGAGTAAAGTACCTTTTAATGGATGCCAGAAACAATCTTTCTGCCTGGGCCTTAAAATTGTCATTCCCCCTGGTAGATATTGACCATCAAAATCAGGTGCATACTGACTATCAGCCAATGTAAGAGTTGTGAAGCTCAGGGAAATGTCTTTGTCTTATCAAAAAGGCAAATACATATATGTATTTTCTTTACATTTTCCTAAAACTTGCATTTATTCTTTTGATCACGACAGAAACTAAAGAAACAATTTAGAACTGAATGAAGCTAAGGTTAAGTATTCCCAAAATAAAGGAATATTTTTCCTGTTCATACTGTTATAACTGGTAAGTATCCCTCTTAAGTTGACCCTGTTTATGGTGACACAGTGGTTCTCAATCCTTGCAGACCCAGTACCTTAAGTTTCATTGCAAGTATTTGATAACACTTTTACCATTCTAAAAATTCACAGAAAATATAATCCTCCTGCACAGACACACAACACACACACACAGGCTGTACAATATTCTAACTAATGTAAATGGTAATGAAAAAGAAAGTCATTTACAATAAAATAAGACATGTTTCCGTGTATGCATGCTCAGACATGATCACAAAAGGAGACAAATGAGGTAGTCTGATGTTAGCTTCTGTATCTAATATCTACCTGACTACAACAGCTACAAATATTGTTCACAGGCGTGTTGTGTTGTATTTTAATGCCACAAATGGTGTTGCCATTAATAATGTTATTTTACAAAGGAATGAACAACTTTGCTAAAGTTCTAAGAAAAACAGTAACATTTTTCCTCAATATCCATGGAAGCTATATTTCTGGAAAAATTAAAGCCAAACCAAGAAAATATTATGCATTTATGAAAACTGAATAAAACCTAGCCAACTGCTTTTATTATTATGAGCATGTTTCATTTCATAAATGTCTGGAAGAACATTCAAATAAAGAGCAAGACCTGGTAATTCTTTATTGTGCATAGAGTTGCTGCAAGACAAAATGTCTAGTCTCAGGCCCCAGCCACCAAATGCTAATACTACTCTCTTAAAATTGTGGTACCCAAAGATTCCTCAAGGGAGGAACAACCTAAGACAGGCACAGTCGCAGGGGGGCCCTCAGGTGAGAAATCGGGGAACAACAGTGGTGAAACTTAGAACCTCACCCCCCCCCCCTGTTTTGAGAGAAAGCTTCTGCATCCGTGGATGTTTTATTGCCCTTGTCTAGCTCGAATTAACACATAGTCTACAGGCACACACCTGATCATCTACAATTGCTCTCTTACAACACTAAACTATGTTTTCTACCTTTATCTTGCATATACCTACCACTTCAGCANTGTTCGTTATGCTTCAGAAGATTGGAGACTGACGAGAATTAGGCTTGAGATGGATTAATGATTGTGCATTGAGCAGTGACCCCCTATACAGAATTTTATTGTTGTTAACAACCATTTGATCAATAAATATGAGAGATGCCCTCTCAAAAAAAAAAAATTGTGGTACCCAAAAGTGGCCTGAGAGACCAGTGTCACCCCAACTCCTGCATGAGATTCATTTTCATAGCATTTAAAGACAAAAGGCAAGTTGAAAATTTCCATTTATTCTATAAGTATTGATAAATAATATATTTTACATTATGGAATATTGCATATCTATGTACTGGTTAATATCCCCTATAGGTCCACAGAAATAGGCCCTCATTATATATAATGCATAATAAAACAGAGGAAAGAATAACTGCCTGAATTCAACATATTTAAAATCTGGAAGAGATTATAATACAATCTATTAGGTAACAGAGGTTATGATAGTAAGACATAGATATATAAGAAGAGAAATTTATGTAATTCCCATAAATTAAAATTTTTTAATATTTTACTATAATTTTTTTATGGATTTCAAGGGTGTTAAAAATTTTCTTAAAACTTTTTTGGGTGTTAGAAATTTTCTTACAAATGTTATGGGTCAAAGTGAGAAAGAAATACTAAAGAAATGGGAGAAGAAGACAAGGAAATAAAAGAAATATAACTTAAAAAGGAGAACAGGACAGATAAAGTTAAAATAGGAAAATTTTGGAATAGTTCATCTATATAGCATGTTGCTGCTTTTTCTTCCTCATAATTATTTTCTATGACTCAGTAATTTTACTGGTTATAGAAACTCACAGAGGGATTTCTTACTCATCAGATGAATTTGTGGATTGTAGAATATAACAAATTAAGAAGAATCTTTAAATCTTGAACGTTTACCTTGCTTGGGAAAAAAGTTACCTTAATTAATTTTAATCTTTTGAAATTACCATGAATTGCTTCAGGTTTCCTGAAGCATTAAATAATGAAACTGGCTCAGTTCCTTCAAGATTATGAAACTGAGGAAAATAAAGACACATAACTTTAAGGGTGGAAGGGAACTCTAAAGATTTCAGTATAGCCTTCTGTATCCAAGGAAAATCTAAATTAACTGTGACCCAAGACAGCTAGAAATTGTTGAAAAAATAGAAAAGAAAAAAAATTTAATCACTTCCCTTGGGAACTCACTTTAATGCCTAGCAGCATATTGGTCAGAAATATTTTCTAAGTTATACCTTCACCATTATTTAGACATATTCAATAAGCTTTTGAATGATTTTTGGAGATACTGAGAGAATTGATCTCATGTCCTTAGATTTGACCTTTATAGGACAAATCTAGAAAACCTTGTTATAGCAAAATGCCATAAGGAGTTCTTTTTCTCTTGATTTCTAGAGAAGCAACTTCCCACCAAAGTTGTGATGATCTAGAAAAGTTTCTTACTATTCTCTCTTAACTTCTTTTTTCAGGGTGTGAGTTGAATGGGTATCTTTTCTAGAAAGCCAAATAGAGCTTGTGTTTTCTGAGCCAAATCTTGGCTAGGATTAATTTATCTAAAGTTAAGTGGAATGAAAAGAACTAGAGGGCTGAGTCCAGTCTAAAATAAATTAGTAAAACTTAGAAACCTTTAGACCCATGGTGCCTGGATAGGCCAAGTAGACATTTTTTATTGTAAAATTATGCAGTATTATAACTCCAGATAGGCTCAATATCATTAGTCTTTGTACAGGCATCATTTGGAGATGCTATGAATTATATAAGGACTGGAATTAATTACATTTTATAGTACTTTTGATTAACTGCATCAAGGCATGGTTTTAATCAAGTAATTGAAATAACCATTCCTACCTCCTGTGTCCATTTTCACTCCTAATATAAAGGAAGTAATTCCGAATACTGTAGTTGGTGGCTAACTGCACAAAAGGCAATTCCATAGGTCAATTATCTTTTGCTTAAACCAGTGGCTTCCCCCAAGAACAAAGAGTAGCAAGTCAAAGCAGCTAATTGCTGTTACACTCAAGAATATTTCATTATAAAATGTAACATTGTTGTTGCAGTCACTTGACTGTGCCACAGAGTATAAGTAATAGATCCTAAAGAACTGGTAGGGAACGAAGCAAATTACAATGACTCCTATAAAAAATAGGTTTTTCAATTGGGCCCAAAACTCCTGATGGGATAGTAGGGAGTGGCGCAGCTTCCGCACCATCGGAATAATGATAAAGATCTGGAAGACCAAGAGAATCACTGCAATGGCTATAAAAATAATGGCTATCATATAGTTGATGACTTGCACATATGCACGATCAAGTTCTTCGTGGAATTTAAAACAGTGCTGCTTATCATAAGCCTTGTAAGTTCCATACTGAGAAACAACCAGGGGCACCACAATGACAATCACCAGCACCCATAGGCCAGTGCTGGCAGCCACTGCATGCAGCTTTCTGTAGAATTCCACTTTGTCTTTGCGCTTGAAGAAGATGAGGTACCTGATGACCAGGATCACCACGTAGAACAGGAAAGTAAGGTACATGTGGATGTGCAGCATGGCACTCACAAATTTACAGAAGGGCAACCCAAATGTCCAAGTGTGCTTGATGAGGTAGGTCAAGCGAAAAGGCACTGTCAGCAGGAAAACACTGTGGACCACCACCAAGTTAACGACAGCTGTGGTGGTCACAGACCGGGTGTTCATTTTCACCAGCAGGAACAGAATGGAGATGATGCCCAGTAGGCCTCCAATGAGCACTACACAGTAGAGTGTGGTTAAATGGGGTGTCCATATTGGATCGCAGGAGGAATTATTGTGGTCAACCATACTTCAGAAATCACCTGGAAAAGACAGCACCACTGTAACTGACAAACTTCCAGACCTTGTTCGTATCTCAGTCCTAGCACTGGCAATACGATTTTGTCATTTATCACTTAACATGACATAAACCTTGTGTGTCTGAAGAATAAATTCTATATCGTATTCATGTCTGTATACTTTAGATTGAAAACAATAAGTCACTGTATCTTAATCCTTATTGGGTTAAAGACCTCCTCAAGAGGCCCTCAGAGACATGTGTCTGCATACATAGCCAAAACAGCTTGCATGGAACTGAATTGCAGACCATCTGAAGCTAACACATAGTACTGCAATCACCAGTGAAAATATGAAAGTAAGGTGGACAGAAAGTTGAGGGGATGTATTAAGTCACAAAATAGTTTTGTTAGTGTGATTCTAATTCTCTAATTCCTTTCAACTCATCAGCAAATGATAAAAAAGTATTTATACTTTATTCATTTACAATAACTGATTAGTTTCACAAAAAAGTTAAGTCAAAGCAAGCAGCAAGCAATAGGATGGTGGATCTGAATTTCTTATCATAATTACATTATCATCTAGCTGTGGGTCCTTGTATAATTTCTTCTCATGGCTCTACTGAAAATGCAGCAGGTCTCTCAATTCTCCCACCCACCACCCTCAAATTCATAAAAGAACCACTGTCATTTTTCTTCTGGAAAGATACTTGCCCTTAATAGTCTTGCTTCTTGCTCCCTTCTAATTCATTATTCACATTCTAATTTATTATTTACTATATGATTTAGTAATTTTTAATTATACTAATCAAGTCATTTCCCTTTATTTAAATTGATTTAATAGCTTCCCATTTCTTTTAAGATAAAAATTTAAATCCTTACATATTTTGACTGTTCTGAGTTATGGCAAAATCTGATCCCATGAGACCACATTCAACAAATAATCTAGAGGTGAAATAGACATAATTTGATGGATTGAAAAGGGGAAATGGGAGAAAGGAAGTCAGTCACTACCAGATTTCAGATTTGACAACTATGTGATGAGAGATCTGTTTACTGACACCAGAGGGACTGAATATCAAATTTGAGGAAAGTAGTTGAATAATGAATGCACTTAGTTCCTGACCTTTATAACACATTTGCAATTACTCTTAGTCATTTCTTGAATGTCTCTTCACACAATCAAGACTACTTCAGCAATAAAAATGAACCAACTACTGATATAATACTGGTTAATTGCAAAAGTATTATACCAAATCATGTATTCTCAATAGGGCAGTATCTCACACAAAGGGACAAATGTTTGTTCCTGAGGTGTGAAAAATCTGACTATTTCATTTAAAACACAGATACACATACAGTATGTCTGTGGTGGTAAAACTTCATGAGGTGGAGAGGAGACAATTAGAGGAAAATGTCCAAAAACACTCAAGCAGGAGCAATAATTTTAAAAAGTTGAGAAACACTGTACTAAATGAAAGGTGCCAGCCCCAAAAGACTACATGTTGTATGAGCTCTTTTTCTAGAGAATCAAAATTAATATGAAATTTCTTCTCATGGCTCTACTGAAAATGCAGCAGGTCTCTCAATTCTCCCACCCACCACCCTCAAATTCATAAAAGAACCACTGTCATTTTTCTTCTGGAAAGATACTTGCCCTTAATAGTCTTGCTCCCTTCTAATTCATTATTCACATTCTAATTTATTATTTACTATATGATTTAGTAATTTTTAATTATACTAATCAAGTCATTTCCCTTTATTTAAATTGATTTAATAGCTTCCCATTTCTTTTAAGATAAAAATTTAAATCCTTACATATTTTGACTGTTCTGAGTTATGGCAAAATCTGATCCCATGAGACCACATTCAACAAATAATCTAGAGGTGAAATAGACATAATTTGATGGATTGAAAAGGGGAAATGGGAGAAAGGAAGTCAGTCACTACCAGATTTCAGATTTGACAACTATGTGATGAGAGATCTGTTTACTGACACCAGAGGGACTGAATATCAAATTTGAGGAAAGTAGTTGAATAATGAATGCACTTAGTTCCTGACCTTTATAACACATTTGCAATTACTCTTAGTCATTTCTTGAATGTCTCTTCACACAATCAAGACTACTTCAGCAATAAAAATGAACCAACTACTGATATAATACTGGTTAATTGCAAAAGTATTATACCAAATCATGTATTCTCAATAGGGCAGTATCTCACACAAAGGGACAAATGTTTGTTCCTGAGGTGTGAAAAATCTGACTATTTCATTTAAAACACAGATACACATACAGTATGTCTGTGGTGGTAAAACTTCATGAGGTGGAGAGGAGACAATTAGAGGAAAATGTCCAAAAACACTCAAGCAGGAGCAATAATTTTAAAAAGTTGAGAAACACTGTACTAAATGAAAGGTGCCAGCCCCAAAAGACTACATGTTGTATGAGCTCTTTTTCTAGAGAATCAAAATTAATATGACAGAAGAAAGATTGGTGTTGCCCAGGGCCCAGATTGCCAGGGAAGGGATTGACTTCAAAAGGGTATGGAAGAATTTGTGGAGTGATGGAATATTTTATTTGGTGTTGGTTGCAGTTGTAAGTATTTGTCAAAGCTCATCAAATTGTAACTTTCTTACACGTAACTTATATTTCAATATAACTAATTAAAAATATTAATAACGACCTCAGAGAGCCTCTGCTTTTGTGGGCATGGGATAGCATTTCCATATGACTGACTTTAAATGTGGCTTCATATTATACTTGTTCTATGTGATGTGCAGTCTCTGTACTTGCCTTTTATTTTTCTCTGTAGAAAAGTAGTTCCATCAAGTAGACTTGAAATTATATTGTGTTCATATCTGAATCAAGGATGAATGTACCACCATAAATTCAGCTTATCATTTCCTTGGGCTGTTGACCTAAAGGGATCAACTGAAAAAAGAAGTATAACCAGTCTCATACCATCTGTCTCAAGTCCACTTTCTTTCTTATAAACTGCTATGATCTCTCAGTTGTAGGAAGCCCATGTTATATCTCTTCTTTGTGCCAGATATTACACGACCCTCACAGCTGTCCTGTGCATTGTGTGTATTTACTCTGCTGAATTTTAGGTGAGGAAATTGAGCATTACACGTAAGTCATTTGACCAAGGTCTCCAAACTCTCACACACACACACACAACTCTGTATTTTACATCATAGAGAAGCAAGTTGTGCATCTCCTAAGCCCAGGTTTATAAATCTTAACACAAGGAGGAGGGGAGGTCATGAAGATATTTGTTTCTATTCACATGACTATTTGCCAGTGTATCTTCTGTTCCATTGATATCTTTATTGAAGTATGATTGACATGCAAAAAGATAGGTAGATACATGCACATATATATGTGTGTGTGTATATATATATATATATGCAACTTGATGAGTTTGGAGATAAGTACACACCTGTGAAACCATTACCACAATCTATGCTGTAAACATATCTACTGCCCCCAAAAGTTCTTCCTGTCTTCTTTATTTATTGTGTGTGGTAAGAAAACTAAGATCTTTCCCTTGAGCAAATTTTTAAGGATGCAATACTAACAATACTGTAAGTAGATCTCTAGAACTTTCATCTTGTATAACCAATCATTTATACCCTTTGACTACCCTCCCCATTTTCCCTTCCCCCCAACCCCAGTACACCATTCTACTCTCTATTTTTATCAGTTTAACTATTTTAGGTTCCTCATGTAAGTGGTATCATGTAGTATTTGTCCTTCTGGTTTCAGATTCTTTCACTTAGCATAATGTCTTCCAGGTCCAACCATGTTGTCACAGAGAACAGATGTCCTTCATTTTTAGTGTGGATAATAGTCCATTGTTTATATACACCACATTTTCTTTACCCATACATTCACTGATAAGACATTTAGTTTGCTTCATGTGTTGACTATTGTGAATAATGCTGCAGTGAACATGGGATTGAAAATAATTTTTTGATACCCTGATTTCATTCCATTTGATAGATACCCAGAAATAGAATTGCTGGACCCCATGGTAGCACTATTTGTAATTTTTTGAGGGACCTCTATACTGTTCTCCATAGTGGCTGCAACAATTTACATTCCCACTGAAAGTATACAAGGGTTCCCTTTTCTCCACATCCTTGCCAACATTTGTTATCTTTTGGATTGTTTTGATAATAGCCATTCTAATAGATATTAGGTGATACTCATTCTGGTTTGATTTGCAATTCCCTAGTGATTAATGATGTTGAGCACCTTTTCAATGTGCCTGTTGTCCATTTGGATGTCTTCTTTGGAGTAATGTCTTCTCAGTTCTTTTGCTCATTTTTAATGTCATCATATTGGGGTTTTTTTTGCTTTTAAGTTTTATATATTTTGGATATTAACCCTTTACAGGTATATGCATTGCAAATGTTTTCTTCCATTCCATAAGTTGTCTTTTCAGTTCACTGATGATTTCCTTTGCTGTGCAGAAGCTTTTTAGTTTAGTATAATCTCATGTGTCTATTTTTGCTTTTGTTGCTTGTGCTTTTGATGTCAATCTGAGAAATCATTTCTAAGATCAGTCTTGAAAGGCTTTTTCTCTTTATTATCTTCTAGGAGTTTTACAGTTTCATGTCTTAAAATTAAGTCTCTAATCCATTTCAAGTTCACTTTTGTGTGTGGTGTAGGAAGGCTCCAATTTCATTATTTGCATGTAGATTTCAGTTTTCCCAGCACCATTTATTAAAGAGACTACTCTTTCTGCATTGTGTATTCTTGGCACCCCTGTTGAATATCAGGTGGCCATATGCATGTGGGTTTATTTCTAGGCTCTCTATTCTGTTCCATTGGTCTATCTACCTGTTTATTTGCTGGTAACATACTATTTCTATTACTTTTATTATATTTTGTATCATAGCTTTATATAGTAACTTTGTAATGTATTTTGAAATCAAAAATGTGATGCCTCCAGTTTTGTTCTTCTTGCTCAATATTACTTTGGTTATAAGGAGTTCCATATGAATTCTAGAATTTTTTTTCTACCTCTATGAAAAATGCCATTGAGCTTTTGATAGGAACCTCATTGAATCCATAGATCACTTTGGGTAGTATGGATGTTTTAACAATATTCTTTCAATCCCCAAACATGGGACATTTCCATTTATTTGCATCTGCTTTAATTTTTTTCATCAGAAATTAAATTAGTTTTCAATGTACAAGTTTATCAATTCCCTGGTTAAGTTTATTCCTAAGTATTTTTATTCCTTTTGATGCTATTGTAAAATAGGATTGTTTCCTTAATTTCTTTATCACATAGGTCATTGTCAGCTTATAAAAATACAACTGATTTTTTCATGTTGATTTTGTATCCTGCAACTTTACTGAATTCATTGATTAGTTCTAATAGGTTTTTTTGTAGAGTCTTTAAGGTTTCCTACATATAAGATCATCCCATTTGCAGAGATCATATTGCTTCTTCCTTTCCAATTTGGATGCCTTTTATTTACTTTTCTTGCCTGGCTGGCTTTCCAGTACTATGTTGAATAAAAACACCAAGAGTGAGCATCCTTGCCTTGTTTCAGATCTTAAAGGAAAATATTTCAGTTTTTCACCATTGAGTCTAATGTTAACTGTGGGTTTATCATTTATGGCATTTATTGTATTGATGTAAGTTCCTTCTATACATAATCTGTTAAGTTTTACTCATGAAAGAGTGTTGAACTTTGTTAAATGCTTTTTCTGCATCTATTGAAATGACCATATGATTTTTATTCTTCATTCTGTTAATGAGGTGTTCATATGAATTGATGTATGTTGAACTATTCTTACATGTAGGAATAAATCCCACCTAGCCATGGTGTATGCTTATTTTAATGTGTTGTTGAATTTGGTTTCTTAATATTTTGTTGAGGACTTTTGCATCTATATATTCATGAGGATATTGACCTGTAATTTACTTTTTTGTAGTGTCTTTGGCTTTTATAATCAGGGTAATACTGACATCACAAAATGAGTTTGAAAGTCTTCCTTCTACTATTTTTTGGAAGAAGTTAAGAAATGTTGGTATTCATTCTTCTTTAAATGTTTGATAGAATTAATTTCTGAAGCCATTTGGTCCTGGAATTTTCTTTGTTGGGAACTTCTTAATTATGAATGCAATTTTATTTGTTTTTGGTCTCTGTAAACCAGTATTGACTTTCTATTTCTTCTTGATTCAGTATAGGTAGGTGGTAGGTTTCTAGGAATTTATTCATTTCTTCTAGGTTATCCAATTTGCTGGTGTATAATTGTTCCTAATAGTGACTCATGATCCTGTTTGTTTCTGAGGCATATGTTTTAATGTTTCCTCTTTCATTTCCTATTTTATTTATTTGAGTGTTCTCTTTTTTATTAGTTTAGCCAAGAGTTTGTGTAGTATATCTTTTCAAAATATGAACTCGTAGTTTCCTCATTTTTTTCTGTTGTTTTTCTATTCTCTATTTCATTTGTTTCTGCTCTGATGTTTATTTACTTCATTCTGCTAACTTTGGACTTAGTTTCTTCTTTTTTGGTTCCTTGAGATACACAGTTAGGTTGTTTATGTGAGATCTTTTTTCTTTTTTAATGTAGACATTTCTGACTATAAACTTTCCTCATAGTATTGCTTTTGCTCTATCCTCTAAGTTTGGATAGGTTATGTTTTCATTTGTCTTGAGATATTTTCTGATTTCTCTTTGATTTCTTATTTGAACCAATGGTTAGGCAAGAGTATGTCATTTATTTTACATACATGTGTACATTTTTCCATTTTCCTTTGGTTATTGATATCTAGTTTTATTTCTTTGTGGTTGGAAAAGATACTTGGCATGATTTTAATCTTCTTAAATTTCTTTAAGCTTGTTTTGTGGCCTAACATGTGATCTACTTTGGATAGCAGACTACTTGAGAAGAATGGGTATTCTGTTTGCTATTGGATAGAATGTACTTTATATGTCTGTTAGGTACATTTGGTATGTAAGTGTTTTTCAGGTCTACTGTTTTCTTGTTGATTCTCTGTCTGGATAACTTATCCATTTTTGAAAGTGGAATTTTGAAGTCTCCTACTATTATTATTTTGATGTCTATTTCTACCTTGGGCTTATTCACAGTCTAATTAAAGTCTAATCTACCTCTGGATGTACTTTCTCTCCTGCATTTTCAACTACAACGTAGAATATTATTCTTGATTCCTAATGGATCTGACCTGACCTCAAATCTTTGTTTTAGAAAATTCCCCAAAACCCTAATGCTAAAAAGCTATGATTTTCAGAAGTTTTCCAGCTTAGAATTTTAGTCTCCCACCCCAAAAAGCCCCAGGATTCATCAAAATGTCTCCAACACATTGGTAAAGTTCTTGAATTTCTTGAATTCTCAGGCCTGAATTTGAAAATGCCACTATGATAAAAAGAAGTTGTTTCATTCAGGTCACTTATTTGATTTTCTTTTCCCTCTGCTGTCTTGACCTCTCCACTCAGTGCCTTACATGAACTTTACTCTTCAAATAGATAACTTCTGTATTTTATTTTCTTTGGCTTTTTAAATTGTTCTTGGAGCCCTTATCAGCTGATAGCCATTCCATCCCATGAAGATGCAGAAACTATTGTCATTTTTACTGGTTAATAATATAAGAAATTCTTATAGTCTTGAAGTTTTTTAACTGCATTCAACAAAAAAAGATGGTAACTTTCTCCCCTATATGCAAAAATTAGCTCTCTAAATTTTCTAGAATTTCTGTTATGAAATGCACAAGCTCCAGTAAAGTGCTTTGTAAGTTTTGGGGTGCATATCTAATGCCTGTTTATCATAGCCACACTCCATAACACTCTCACCCTGACTCTCTGAGCTTTGGTCACATTGGCTTTGTTTCAGGTCCTACAACATCTCATGCTCCTTTTTGTCTTAACACTACCACCTGTTCTCTCCCC